AGACAACATCATTTTTAAAATTGTTGAATTTATAACGATTTTTACGCGAAACGATAATAGTACTTGAATTTTCCTACTAGAAATTATGACTTTCATATATATATATATATATATATATATATATATATATATATATAAGTAAATTTTAAAAAACAGGATTAAAAATAACTGATTTATTATAAATTTCAAAAATCTTTAGTAATTTTAAAAAAAACTTAATGAATTTAGAATAATTTTTTTCTTTCAATATAGTTTTTGAAATAAAAATAAAGAAAAAAAGTTTTATTTTTGTAAATTTTTTTTTTTTTTTTTGGAAAAAGATTCGAAAACTTTTCTTCATTATTTTTTTATATACCTAAAAGTAAATTTAGTTTGACGAAGTTTTAGTACCATCAGAGTTGGCTTTAAATGAAATGGCACCCGGGGCGAATATGGACATACTGGATTTTATTTTAATCCCCATGATTTTTTTTATATTTCACGATAAAAAAAAAGACAAAAAAAAATTTCCAATTTTTTTTAAAACTAAATTCACTAGAAATGTTGTTACAATGTATTTGCTTTCAAAAGTGTCGTATATTTTAGGGCAATATAGTGTCGAAAAAACATAGAAATTGACGAGTTTTTTTTTTTTTTTTTTTTTTACAAAATGTACCGACAAAAAAAAGTGGTTTTCTCTCTTAAAAAATAAAAAAAAAAACTAAATACATTCAATATCAATAAGCCCATGAAAACTATATAATCTTTCGAAACACTAGGATTTTTTTTAAATAATAAAAAAGAAAATTTTTTTAAAATGTAAAAACGAATTATTTTTAAAAATTTGATTTTTTTTTATTTGAAAATTTGAATAGACTATTTGAAGAACTAAAAAAAAGAAATGGTGGAAAAATAGGATTTGTATTTTTTCAAAAAAAAAAAAAATAATAATAATAAAAAAAGGCCTTGTACCTGTATTTTTGAAAATGAATATGAGGGTCAATGTAATTTGGTGTGCCCTGGTTTTGTTAGCCTTTGGTTTATTTCATTATATATGTGCGCGACATTTGTTGGCAAGTAACATCCAAGGTTTTTGCGCTTTATATCAATAAAAAAGTCATCTTCCAAACGAGCTACTCTTGTGCAACACGTACCAGTGCCTCCCACGTGTTACCTGTCTCGTATGCCACCTACTTGCTTGAAAATATAAAGGGTAGCGTCACAATGAATCACGTACCTACTCCTCCTCTATATATATACAGAACTAACTCCCTTGACATTTTAGAACACCAGAGAAAGATGGTATCTTATGAAAATTACCCAGTTGTGGAATTATTTAATATTTCTCGCTATTTCGCAAAAAAAAAAAAAAAAAAAAAAATGAAAATTTATGAAAAATTTTCATTCTCTAGAGTGGAGTCACTGTTTTTCAAATTTAACTTTCTTTTTCACAGAAAATTATAAGGCATTAAAATAAGCTGCAACGCTTATTATTTTAATCCAATTTTGCTTATTTTAATACCAAAATGGATTAAAATAAGAAAAATTGGATTAAAATAATAAGCGTTGCAGCTTATTTTAATGCCTTTTAATTTTCTGTGTTTTCATTTTTCGTTAAATTATTCAAAAATTATCATTAACGAGAATTTTTATAAATTTGAAAGAAAAAAAAAATGCCAAAAAATCATGTAAACTAAATTGTGGAGTTATTATTTTAAAAAAGATTAAAATAAGATCCATCGAAGATTAAAATAATTCATTCAAAATTTAACTGCAATACTTTTTAATATATCTCATAATTTACTTTATAATTTTAGTTTTACTGTTATTTACTGTGGTATATATATATATAATCAAATATCGTTACTGATTAAATATTTTAGAAATATAAACGTATATTATATTTTATATCTAATTAGAAAATTTTTTAACATTAAACAGGTTTAATTAAACATGTTGTGTTTGAAATTCAATCAAAATTTCATATTATCATCTAACAGGTTTAATCAGGGATCCCTGGTTTAATTAAGCGTATATATCTGTTAAAATTAAATTAAAATTGTATTTAAAATTCACTTGTAAAATTATTATTATCATTATTATTAACTTGCAATATATTTAATTAAAATTGTTTTTAAAATACACTTTAAAAATTATTACTATTATTATATTATTAATATTAACTAAAATTGTATTTAAAATACAATTCAAAATTTTTTATTATCTTTTAAAAAAAAGGTTTAATTTTAATAAACTGAAAAAATTCGATAAAAATTTCTAAATAATTGCAATAATTTTCCAGAAATTAGAATGTAGATTTAAATTTTTGTACAAGTGACATTTTATAATAAAATCTAAGAAGCAATTTCCGTTTTTGAATTTTGTCGTATATATGAAGCAATACTTTAATGTTTTATAGTGATTACGTCAAAATTTGTGATTATAACAGATTTGGTTAATGTCATAGTTGGCGGTTTCGCGTGTATGAAATTGATGGAACACATACACACGCACACAAAATTCGCTGACCGGGATTGAAATGGATATATATCGCGTTCTCTCCTGACGTCCTCATCCCTTCCCCTCCCTTCTTCAGGCAACTATCAATTTGCCAGCACCAAGTTCCCAGCATAAGCATATCCTCATTTATCCAATGTCCTATACTCTGGCGACCAATTTGCTAATCGAGCCAATCATTCAATCGCATTAACCTTGCCGGCCATTCACTATGAGAGAGAAAGAGAGAGAGAGAGACCCTCTTCACTTATTATTGCTCGGTTCCTGCATATATATATATATTGAGACTAAAAAATGTAGGTGAAAAATATTTATAATTTTCTATCAAATTATTTTTAGAATGCTAAAAAAAAAATTTGATTCTAATAAATATTTAATTGAATTAAATAAATTTTTATTATATTGTTTTAAGAAAACGTTCTTAATTTCTTTTATTTAAAAATGGATTTTTTTTTTACACTTTCTTTTATAGTACATGTGCCATTATTTTCGATCGAAACAATTTTCTCCAAGTCGTAAGTCGCGTTGCGAGAGGAAATTTGCATATTTTCGAGTATATAAGCTATATTGGAGAAAAAATGAAAAAAAAAATACTTATGAAAGTTGAATGAAATTTTTTTTTTTTTTTTTTGGGGGGGAGGGAATTTAATAAAAATGAAAAGAAGAATTTAATAGAAATAAATTTTACTATGTATTTATAAAAACGAGAGTAGTTTTTGAGAAATAGAAACTGATATTTGAAATTAAAAAGAAATTTTCAAATATTTCAAAAAAAAAATTAATTTTATAAAATAATAATAATTTTGTGAATTAAAAAAATTATAATATTTAATATTTACTAAAAAATAATAATTATTTGATAAATTCAACTTAATTTTTAAATATTAATTTAGTATAAATTTTAACTAATTTAAATTAATAATTGATTTTTTACTAATGAATTAATTAAATTACTAATCCTAAGAAAAAAAATTTTTCTATTTACTCGTTTTTATTTGTACTAATAGTACTAATTACTAATTTGAACTAATTTTGAATTAGTGACTAAATTTTTTCAATGAATTAGTTAATTTTTTACACTAATCAGTGAAATATTTTTTTGTTACTAATTTATTAGTATTTTAACTAATTCCCCAGGTGAAACGATTCTACGGAAATCACTCCACGGAAATTCCATACGGAATTCCGCAAAAATTCTATACGGAATTCCGCAAAATTTTGAAAGTATTCCTTTCGAAATTTTGCGAATTTTTTTGAAAGAATTCCATTACAGAATTGCAATTCTAACAAAAATTTTGTGCAATTCTGTATAGAGATTATGTGTGTAATTTTTATAAAAAATTCGCAAAATTACAAAAGAACTTCATTCAAAAATTTTGCGGAAATTTTTGCGGAATTCCGTATATAATTTTTACGGAATTCCGTGTGGAATTTCTGTGGAGTAGTTTCCATAGAATCGTTTCACCTGGGTCACGTATAGAAAAAAGTCAGACACTAATTGAAATTACTAATTTAGATTTAGAGATTAGGTAGGAAAATTTTTTTAATTCATTTTTTAACAATATAACAAGATAATGACATTCGTGTGAATTGACTTAATTAAATTTGTCCCTCACTTAATTTAGACTATAAACGCAACTGATTATGTTGGAAACTGAGAATCAATTATCACTGCCACTTGTATACACAGAATCGTTCAATTAAGCTCTAAGTGGTATTTATTCAAACATATTTAGAATTCTCTCTCTCTCTCTCTCTCTCTCTCTCTCTCTTACACACACACATTTTATATATATATATATATAGATTGTTTGCAACAAACATAATACTAAAATTTTGTCTCTGTTGGAAGATATCTTGAATTTCACACTGTCGAGAATGACAAAAGCATGTATATATATATACGGCACTTGACCTCTTAGGAAGTGCCAACATGAAACCTTGGTTTCTATATACTATAGCTGAAAATGTAATTTCTCGCGAACTAGCGCAACTATCGTGCCGCTTTAAAGCGTTTTCACGTGAAATCCTCAGCGTTGATGTATTTCATGTCCTAACAGAAATTCTCTGTGTGTGTATACATATATATAGATATATTTCAAATTGTGTGGATTGTAAGTGATGTCAACGCTTCAAAGCGTGTATGAGAGAAGAATTACTATACGAAGATAAAATGAAAACCGTATATGAAAGAAAATAACAATACCCTTAAACAATATGGAATTAACCAACTTCTTACTATTAAAGTATAATCCGAGCTTAAATTACCAACAAAAGAACATTATAATGAAACAAAGAATAAAAGATTTTTTTAATTTTTTTTAACAATATTTAACTATATGAGGAAAATAAATAATTGAAGTCCCTAATTAAAATAGTCTTCTTCAAGAAAAAAAAAAGGGTTTAAATTTTTAAACCGCCATTCAAGAAAAAGTATTTCGAAAAATAGGTGAAATTTTTTTTTTTTTAACCTTACTGTATAATAGTTACGTTAAAGTACTCACCCCTACGGCTACGCTGTGTGCAAGTTTCAGCCCGATCTGTAAAAAAAAAAAATTTAGTTAAATCATATATTATTAGAGATCGGTATATTTGTTTCAAATACAGTAATTATTGGTTGAAAAAAAATTTATTTAATTCAAATATTTGATTTCAAAATTTATTCGGTTTAAGTAAATATATTGATAATACGAGAATATTTGAATCAAATAAATTTTTTTTTTCAGTGATAAGTAAAAGTGAATATTTCAGTTTAGACACGTTTCATAATTAGATCTTAATTAGCGGCCCCCGGTTGATTCTAATTAACCAGTTTAATTAAGTGTAATATGTCTTTAATCTAAATTTTCTGCATCGAAGAATTAAGATTTGTTTAAAGAACTATATATATATATGAATTATAATTAATCGAATTGTGTGATAATTATGCAAACAAATCGACTATAAAAATCAATCATTAACTGAGCGAGGAAATTTAACAAGGTTTCTAAGATACCTTAAGTCTATTTGCTTAATGGCTGAGTACGCTTATCGGTGTTAATTAACGCACTTATATTTCAATTCAAGTTTTACATTTTTAATTTTTATTTACAATTTTCATAAAAAATACATAGTAAATATAGATTCAAGTTTTTTTTAAATCATAATTTTTTATTTTTTTTTGTTACACTCTTTAATTTTTATTCTTTCATAACGTACAAGCTGAGAGCAAACTAAATTATTTGGTTGTCGTAACCAAATTTTGATTAGAATCATTTGGTTTTTTAATCCACATTATTTTGTTGTATTAACTAATTTATTTTGTTGTAGTAAACACATTTTGCTGGGAATTAAAAAACGTTCATCCAAATAATTTTATTGGTCAAATCAAATGTTTAGTAAAATTTTGTTTCAGCCAACCAAAGTTTGGTTACGACAACCAAAATTGACGTAACCAAATGATTTTGTTGCAAAAACAAAATCATTGGGACACAAATATAGTTTCACTATATATATAGCTGACATTAAACGACAACAGGCATATGACCTTGGTTCCGCGCAATAAACAAATGTGTGAATTATGTATATATATATATATATATTGTTCGCCAGAAATTGCGTACGAGAAGCAATGTCGTGGTTTTGAGAAAATAGACAAGGCAAGTTTACAAGTGCGTAGGGGTTATATTTTGACGCAGGTGTTCGCTCGACAATATTGTGCACGAGAAACATATATAGGTGTATATATATAGATATATAGATATACACACACGAGGTACAAACATGTGTGTAAATGGCGTACGCACTTTCGAGCCTCGAAACAGAATAAACGTTCGTTCGACCCACGCCATCCGTTCGTCGCAATTGCTGCATGCCCTGTGTAAAATTGGATAATACCATATAGAAATAGGTGGATTTATACGTCACAGGAGGAACATTTTGCCAGGCTCGTATCCATTCGCTCGTGAACCTTTCCGAGAGTTTCATTATCAAAATCCCTATTTTGAATATTTCGACTCTTTACAACAATGCCATCTGTCAATATTATAGTTTTGGTTCAAATCGATTAAATACATAATTGATTTTATTGTATGTGTTTAATGTAGGTCCAATGTAGGTTCAAAATAGAATTAATGTAGGTTTAAATAAGGACCAATGTAGGTTTAATAAGGACCAATATAGATTGAATGTAGGTCCAAAGTAGTTTCAAAATAAGATCAAAGTAGATCCAATGTAAATTTAAAGTCGATTTAATGTAGGCTTGAAAAAGGTTCAAATAAGGTTTAATATAGGTTTAAATAAGGACTAATAAAAATTCAATGTAGATCCAAAATAGTTTCAATGTAGGATAAAAGTAGATCCAACGTAGGCTAAAAGTAGGTTTAAGTAAGGATTAATATAGGTTTAATGTAGATACATAGTAAATTCAATAAACGTACACTGAAGGTTTAATATTGGTTCATAGAAGTTTCATTATAGGGTTAAAGTAGGTTTAATGCAGGTTCAAAGTAGGATTAATATAGGCTTAAATAAATACCAATATAGATTTAATGTAGGTTCAAAGTAGTTTCAAATTATGATCAAATTGATCCAATGTAGGATCAAAGTTGGTTTAATGTAGGTTTAAATATGGACTAATGTAGGTTTGAGTAAGAAGTAATGTAGGTTTAAATATGGACTAATGTAGGTTTAAGTAAAAAGTAATGTAGGATCTATGACGGTCCAATGTAGTTTCAATGTAGGTTCTTAGTAGGTGTAAGTAAGGATTAATACAGTTTCAATATAGGTCCGTAGTAGTTTCAATTTAGGTTCAATATTATTTCATAGAAGTTTCAGTATAGGGTCAAAGTAGGTCCAATGCAGGTTCAAAGTATGATTAATGTAGACTTAAATAAAAACCAGTATAGATTCAATGAAGGTCCACAGTTTTTTTCAATGCAGGATCAAAGTAGATCCAACATAGGTTTAAAATAGGTTTAAGTAAGGATTAATACAGGTTCAAAGTAGGTCCAATGCAGGTTCAAAATAGGATTAATGTAAATTTAGATAAGAATTTATATAGATTCAATGCTGGTCCGAAGTAGTTTTAAATTAGGATTAAAGTAGATATAATGTAGGTTCAAAATAGGTTTTAGTAAAAACTAATGTAGGTTCAAAAGAGGTCCAAAGTAGTTTCAATGTAGAATGAAAGTAGGTTCAATGAAAATTCAATACAGGTTCATAGCAGTTTTAGTATAGGGTCGAAATAGGTTTAATGCATGTTCAAAATAGGATTAATGTAGACTATACCAATATAGATTTAATGTAGGTTCAAATAGTTGCAAATTAGGATCAAAATGATTTAATGTAGGATCAAAGTTGGTTTAATGTAGGTTTAAATATGGACTAATATAGGTTTAAGTAAAGAGTAATGTAGGATCTATGAAGGTCCAAAGTAGTTTCAATGTAGGTTTTTAGTAGGTGTAAGTAAGGATTAATACAGTTTCAATGTAGGTTCATAGTAATTTCAATTTAGGTTCAATATTATTTCATAGAAATTTCAGTATAGGGTCAAAGTAGGTCCAATGCAGGTTCAAAGTAGGATTAATGTAGGCTTAAATAAAAACCAGTATAGATTCAATGTAGGTCCAAAGTAGTTTCAATGTAGGGTCAAAGTAGATCCAACGTAGGTTTAAAATAGGCTTAAGTAAGGATTAATATAGGTTCAAAGTAGGTCCAATGCATGTTCAAAATAGGATTAATGTAGACTATACCAATATAGATTTAATGTAGGTTCAAATAGTTGCAAATTAGGATCAAAATGATTTAATGTAGGATCAAAGTTGGTTTAATGTAGGTTTAAATATGGACTAATATAGGTTTAAGTAAAGAGTAATGTAGGATCTATGAAGGTCCAAAGTAGTTTCAATGTAGGTTTTTAGTAGGTGTAAGTAAGGATTAATACAGTTTCAATGTAGGTTCATAGTAATTTCAATTTAGGTTCAATATTATTTCATAGAAATTTCAGTATAGGGTCAAAGTAGGTCCAATGCAGGTTCAAAGTAGGATTAATGTAGGCTTAAATAAAAACCAGTATAGATTCAATGTAGGTCCAAAGTAGTTTCAATGTAGGGTCAAAGTAGATCCAACGTAGGTTTAAAATAGGCTTAAGTAAGGATTAATATAGGTTCAAAGTAGGTCCAATGCAGGTTCAAAATAGGATTAATGTAAGTTTAGATAAGAAGTAATATAGATTCAATGCTGGTCCAAAGTAGTTTCAAATTAGGATTAAAGTAGATCTACTGTAGGTTCAATGTAGGTTCAAAGTAAGATTAATTCAGATTTAAAAAACAACTAATATAGGTTCCATGTAGATCAAAAGTACATTCAATGTAGGTCCTATGTAGGTATAAATATTAAGAAATGTATAGGTTCATCGTAGGTTTAAACAAGTTTAAGTGAAGGATGAAGGAAATGAAGGAAATTGATCAAAAAAATAATTATTATATTATAAAATTATATTAAATTGAATTCATATAACAAATATATTTTTAAATAAACAATAAATAATAAATTTTTGCAGTTATTATTGAAATAAATTTGAAAAGAAATTTTTTTTAAATTGTAAATAAACATAAAAAAAATGTGTATTTACAATCAAAGGAAATTTGTAAACTTTTTGGAAATTATGTGCTTCACACATACAAAAAAAAATATATATATATATATATATGCTTCTATATTTACCGGGGGAAAATATTGACACTTTTGTACCTTTTAACAATATATCATACGCGCCTGTCAATAAAAACGAGATTTTCAACATGTATATCATCACTATATTGAATATATACACAGATGTCCGCAGTCATATATGAATCCACGCGTCCGCAAGCTAATAGCGAGATAAAAGTTGTATTTGAAAAAGGAAAAAAGAAAAAAAAGAGAAGAAAAATGTTGTGTTAAACACTTTATACGCATGAACAAACCTGCGTTGATATGTGCTTTCAATTAAGGTTAACGAGCAAAGGAGTTAGGGGGAGATCTTGTCCATAAAAAAGAAGTACTTACAACTTTTACAATGACTTTTAATGCACTTTACAACTGTGTAAATGAGTTTTTAAATTTAGCTTTATAGAAAAATATATAGAAACCGTAAACATTATTAGTTAGTGTAATGACACACGTACGATTAAAATTAAAATTAAAAAAAAAAAAATAACAGTATTTTAAAATGAAAATTTAAGTCACATTAAAATGAAGAAATTAATTTTCTCGAGAGTTTACTTACAAAAATGGTAATGAAAAATCACAAAAATGAAAAAAGAATAAGAAATTTTTTCTAAAAGAATTATCGTGAATGAAAAATATTGAAATTGAAAATATTTTAATCTAAGAGAATTATGTGAATCGACATTAATCTACGTCCGCTTTTTTTCCAAATGGAGACGACGACGACGGTTTCATGTGGTGAAGATAAATTCTTATTCCACCTTTTCTAGTTATATTGATTCTATTAACTTCGGTAGCATGTCGTGTAAGATGGACACCCGCAATAATTTCGTTGTGCGCGACTATATAC